AAGAAGTACAAGAGGTGCTGAACTCCTGCTGAGATAGAGTTTTACAGTGAACACCAGAGGGGTAAAATTAATAGTGTTGAGTGGCAAAGGGGATTCAGAGCTAAAATGTCTTGATGAAGCAGCAGAACTGTGAGGGCTCAGAGGCCATACCAGGTAGGAGTATCCAACCACCCAGATTGGTAACCAGCATCCTAAATTTTTGCGTGTTTTACACCCTCATGATCAAGATAATGCTGCAATGAAAACAGCAGAAAGTATTTTTTTATTCTCTTACTGTATGGTCTTTCTGTCTGGTCCTCACTCTTTCTACTCTTATTCAACTTCAATCTGCCCATGCTTTAACTTGTCTCAGCATCCCAATTCCTGAAAAATATTTTTCAAAGAAAAGCAGTTTTCCCATCTCAAAGCATGCAGAAACCTGAATCTGTGCCTCTGTGCAGGTTCCCTCCAAGACGAATTAAGGTTATTTATATACATAGACAAACATGGAAAACATGCACAAACAGGCTATGCCTGGGGCAGTGGAGCTGTTGAAGCTTATTTTCTACTTCACTAGGGTCCTAAATTCTTGGTTACCTAATAAAGCATAAGGCTTTATTAAGACTTTTTCCAGTGTTTGGGATTTTTATAAAGCCCCTTCCCTATATGGATTCTCTAATTAGGGATGAACAGATATTGCATCTTTCTCTGGACAGGGTCATTGATGTTATCTCTGTTCTCTCTTGTCACCTCTTCTCATGATTTTTATGATTTTGGCCGCTCTGTGAAATATGTCTGGCTAAAGCTGATGATTGTGAAAGTAAATTGGTCAAGAAGACTGAAAGATAAGAATTAAGGGTATTTTTCTAGCTTTACTGTTGGAATTTCCTGATCTGTTGAGATCTATCTTTGAAAAAAATGTTTCTTCATGGAGCAGATACATGAGCTGGTGCATGAGATCCAGCTGGAATCAGACATGGAAGAAGAAAGCTAATAGAGCTGGATTCCTTAGGTTATAGATTCACATGGTTCCATTAAAATCAATGGTCTGGGAGCTGCTAGCTGTGAAACCTTAATATAACTACTAACTCCCACATGCCAAACCATCTGACAAAGCTAAGGAACAATCTTTCTTTAAGATTTGGGTGTATTCCCAGCACACTCTAAGAAATAAAGTAAGATGTCTAAGTTAGTTGTGATCTCTGTCAGGCATCTCCAGAAGATAATTTAGCTGTGCTAAAACACCTGCTGGAAGTGCTTCTCTTTCTCCTCTGAGTATTTGGGAAACCTGGTAACTAATTTAGGCTAGGCACGTCAAAATTAGTTGTCCAAAGTTAGGTGAGATAACTCTCTCCTCAAGCAGTCTCTGTTTTATAACAAGCCACTTTATTATGCACAGGAATGCATATCCTTCAGGGCAAGAAATTCAATACAGGTGCTAAGAACAACAATTTATCAGCCTGTTATCTGTGACTTGGAAGGAGTGCACATTACTATTTGTGTCTGAGCTCCCCTGAAGGAAAATTTTATAAGCAATTTATTTTGTACAGGGAGAAGCAGTGTCCTGACACAGCTTGAGGGGATGACAAGGATCATAATATATAAATAATGCAATCTATAAAGATGAAACATTTAGAGGGATTAAAAATGCAATAAAAGTCCAGAAATAGCCATTTTTTGGACATAAGCAGGGAATTTTGCATTCACCTTTTTTACATACACAGATCAAATGTGCAGGCTGATTCACCACCCAATTACTGTGGGTTTAGTCTCCTATTGAGTGAAACTCTTTAGCATGTGCTGAAGTTAAGAAGTTATGTGATGCCACTGGTAGAAAGAGGCTCTTGAGTGTTTTTCTGAATCCGACCTTGCAGTAAGACAGGTCTAAAAGGTGGTTCAAGAGGTCATGCAGTCCAGCCATGTTGTTCAGCCTGTGAACTGTGGTTTCAGAGAATTTTGTTAATTGGAAGGTGATCCGAAAAACAAGCACAAAGTAGTTTAAACACCAGTGCAGACACTTCTGTGTACAAGGAAGCAGATCGAAGGGAAAGGGCTTAAAAGTAATGAATGAACTTTCAGTAATAAACACAGCCTTATTAGGTGGATGAATAAACCCATTTGGCAACACAGCATAAAATAAACTCTTTTTCACTCCCTAGAAAATATAATCCTCCAATGGTATCACTGAACTGTTTCCCTTCCTGTAATGATCTCATCTATAACTAAACATTATGTTTATCAAATTCACCAGGGGTCAAGATTAAACCAGCTGCAGCATTGCCTGCTACTTAACCATCCTCACTAACTGAAAGATTTTATTTAGGTCCAACTAAACTTTTGCTATCACATCTTTTCTCTTGATTTTCACCATTTTTAGCAAAACCGATTCCATCTCTGTCAATGTTCCCTTGAAGGCCGTGTGCTGTAGACCTCTGATCACCCCCAGCGCTGCCTTCTGGCCCCTCTCCAGTTGATTTACATTTTTATTGAAATTCCATGCCCAGAAATGAATGCAGATGTTCACCTGACAGCTTTCCAGGGCCAAGCGGAATGGAAGGAGTAGCTCTGATGTCCTCCCTTCCTTGTGACAGCGTGACACTCTGACTCCTGTTAAGCTCTTGATCCACTCTAATCCCCCCAATCCTTTACTGACAAACTGCTGCCCAGGGTGTCACTTCTTTACTTGTATCCCCCAAGTTACAAAACGATGGGTATGATTCACTCTGTTGTCATCAGCTGTAGAGTAGCTGGAATCCAGCACGTGGCATAATAAGCTTGTTGGTCTCAGTGGTCATCCTGGAAAGACTTATCTATTTTGAAGGTCAATACTACTCCTTCCTCTGACAGGTATCTTACATGGGAAGGTTGTTTCTTCCTTGAGGAGTCAGTATTCATTAACTGTGAGGGATCCAGATGACCAAATCAGACCTGAGACTTCATGCTTTGGTGATTCACACAAGGTCAGAGTAAGTCCAAACTCAACTGTATAGTTTTGTTCTTGTCTCACTGAATCACTTTCTTTTTTCTTTCTTTCTTTCTTTCTTTCTTGTACTAGTTCATCAAGGTGATTTTGAATTCTAATCTTGGTATCTGAAGTATTTCTAGCCTGGCATTGTCCCTGAGCTTAGGAAACAAACTCCATTTTTAAGCAGCCAACACAAGAAATGCACAATGTTAACTGACAGACCCAGAAAATGACTACAACATCCATCCTTTCATTTGGATAAAGAGTCACTGCTCCCTTTTTTCACTCGGCAGCAGCTTCATAAAGGGTTCTGAAGGGAGGGGAACATTTCTCTGAGCTGATCACTCAAGAAATAAAGGGTGACTGCCCAGGATATACCCTAGAAATGCCTTTGCTCTCCCCTCTCTCTGTCTCCTTGCAGTTGACTCTTGTGGCACAGGGGAGGGTGAATATCATAAACATGGATTTAAGCACTCCATAAACAATGATATTCTTTTAATGGGGAAAATAATGTCCTCAGTGCTGTCAAACGTATATATTTTAAACCAGTCATATGAAAATAAATCTCATTTTAGCACTACCGAAGTCTTCTCCTGGAATACTTAATCCTGGCTCCCATGGCAGCTCTGCCATGGGAAGGGCTGCAGAGCTGGGCCCACAGGCAGCAGTCACAGGTCGGTGTTGTTCTATTATTCATTGTTAGGTAGTCAGTAAATTACAGAGAGGAGATAGATGTCCCATTTTATGAGGCAATAACAGCCTGGATTTTAGCAGAGAACAAGTCACTTTGTGGATCTGGATTTCAGGCATTAAATCAAGGCCCAGTTGTTCAGCTATTATTTATATTTTATGGGTATTGCCAAATAATTTAAAAAACTGTGATTAATGCAACCCACTTCAGAACCTCTCCATTGTGCCACAGCAAATTAGCAAGGGTCTGTCTGAGTAAGGAAAGTTGATGTAGGAGAAATATCCATCCCCATTCCTTCTTTCTAAGGTAGTAGAACAATCTTAAATATCCAAGTTTCCTTCCATGTTTCTTCCTCTAAGGGTACTTGATCCAACAGCCCTGAAAGAGATGGGAATTCTCATGGAGAGAGTGGTCAGGCACCTTCTGGGACTTGTAGCTTAAGGACTTAATTTAATTTGACTTTGCTGCAAGCTGTTTCTGCTCTGAAGGGGAAACTCATCCTGTTGCTTTCAGTGGCACATAAAAGGTCAGCTTGTTTTCCTCAGACTTCTTCAAATATGTTTTCAAGTGGCATAATTCCAGCTATTCTCTTCTAGTAGAGCTTTCAAGTGGGGAGAGAAACACAAAATTTACCCCAAAGTCCACATACATTCACAGTGATAATATCTTGATCAATCAATCTTTCTCCAGATGACAGCAATACCTGGATGATGGAAAAACAACCCTTAATTTACTGCTTGAAACTTGCAGATTTAAGATGAATTTTAGCAAACTGGTCCTTTGTCTGTAAATGTTCAGAAATTTTTGCTTGGATGTATTTTATGTTCAGTTACCCATTTGACCACTGAATTAAACATTTTTTCGCTCACTTCCCAGTTGACCTCAAAATGTCCTCAATGCTCAGATATGCACAGATTTTTATCTGCAGGAAATATTGCTTTAAAGACACTTTTCAAAGCTATCACATTTACTTTTTCATTTAGTGAATACATCTGAGGGGGAGTGCTATCAGGATTAAGGCTTGTGCGCTGACTGAAAATGCAATAATTACAGTCAGTCAGTGATTCCTTTCTCTTCCTTTTGTTCTTCCTCCACCGTGATTCATAAATCAGAATAGAGAATTTCTTGAATTAAAAATTTCCCTGTGTAAAAACAAGATCACCTTAATTTAGTGTTTTTATGGTCCCTCCATGATGCTGGAAAAGTGGAAGAGAACCCAAATGGAGAAAGAATGGATTCAAGTACATCCTGCTGCATGGATCTTCTTTGTAACTCTCAATGCCTAGACAAGCTCTGGAAAAATCCACTGTGATTTCCAAAGCATTACAGTCACTTCACTGTCTAAGCTGGATAAGACATTCCTGCTTCAAGTTCATAAAGGAGTTTATTCAGAAACTTTGCCACAATTAATCAGAACTAGATCCAGTGTCTGTCCCAGACGACACGTCCTCACACACTTCCTGAAATATAACAGGGGGTTAAAAAATGTAGGATTAATTTTTTGAGTTACATATATGTGTCTATATTTTAAATGCTATATAATTTTATATATTACATATATAATCATATATGAAAGTATATGCATTATATATAAGCACACATACACATTAGATAATATTTTATATTCTAAATATAAATGTGATGATATATATCATGTATTACAATATACAAATATTTTAAGTAAGTGTTGTTTAAATATTATATATTTAGTTTTAAAGAATCATGGTATATTTTTATTAGTTTATTGCCTATTAGATTCTGAACAATTTCCCTTGTGGAATTTTATAATGTTGTTTATTTAGGCGTATATAAAAATAAATATTATTAACACTGACCTTAAATTCCAGCACATATTTTTCCTCTAAATAAGCTAAATACAACCATCAGTGCAGTGAAGCCCATGGCATCGAATCCTGTAAACAGATTTGAAGCCTTTAGCAGGATAATTATAGTCAGTTGTTCCCCATTTCCCAGCTAATGGCTTAATTGAGTGCTGGGAACATGTGATACTTACAGAAAAAAATCATCATTCTTATAATTGACTTTTCCATATGACTCTTTGTGTCATTTTGCGTGTTCTCTTGGGCACAGAATTGAAAGTCCCAATTTTTTTAAGTCTTTTCTGTGCCTCATTCAGGCAACAACTATGAATTGTGTTCCTGTTGCAACTGAGTATCATTCAGTAGGATTGCAGCATTCCTAAAATTACAGATAGGAAATAAAATCACTAATCTACACCTACTAATAGCACAGCAGGATGCTGCTGTGAGAAAAGATTGGCATTTGTTCTTCCTAATTTCATATCCATAGTACACATTAAGTTTAAGCTGCAGAATCAGGAGTCTACTTGGTTGCCTTCTTTGAACACCTAAACTACATGTTTATAATAAGATAACTGTCCCAGAAGAGACAATTTTTCAGCATAGATATTTTCATTGACTCCCCCAAAATTTCAGGCATTTAAATCATTCCTTTTCTCCTTTTTCCCCAATTTTTTTTTATTTTCTATCTTCTATTTTTTCTTTCAGAATTTATTCAGTTAAAAGACAGAAAGCAAATAAAAAGGGTTTGCAATTTCCTGACAGAACAATTTTTTTGAAAATGCCAGTGCAACAAAACATATAGGGAACTGTAACCATTATAGCTATTTTTTAGAGGTTATTACTTACACACTTTGTAACAGGATTGTTGCTTTTACTATAATAGAGGTGTCAAGGATCCCAACCTAATATTGGTTAACCCTGCTTTTCCTTGTGGATTGGAACAGGTGACCTCATGAGCTCTTGTGTAACCTGAGTTAATACATATACCCAAGTTCTATCCTACCACAACAATAAAGCAGTTAAAATATTGAAATAGTTTTCTTTGGAGTCATAAGATTTTGATTTTTCAACAGATTACTTGCATGGAACTAAATTTGAAAATGCCCTAATCCTTGTGGTAGTCAAAATCCATATTGAATAGGTTTAATAAACAAACCTGGTGCTCTTTTATTCTCTCTGGGTATTATTCCTGGCATAAATAGACAGATGTCATTTAGCTTTAAAGGATTTAGGACATGGCTTATCATGATCTTTGAGCACATTCACAAGGAGGAAATCCATAATGTCAGAGCACACTTTAACCTAACAGAATGCATTAAAACCAGTGCACTGAATGGACATCAACAACAAGAAAATTGAAGCAGTACAAGGCAAATGAAAGTCAAATGCATGTTGCTGGTTTTCAGTAGCATTGGTAAGTATAATTTCCAAAGTCTGTGGGTTTCAGTATCATTCTATGCCCTTAAACACAGATTGTATGTCTTTCTGTTTAAAAATATGTCTTCCACCTTAAACCCATATTGGTGAGTTATAGTCAAGAACTATAGCATTTTATTTTTTTAATGTGTAGCATTTTTTTGCTGGATGATATACCAGAGTGTGGCCATTTATGATAATGGTCACTGTTGCCCTCAACAAAATGACCTCTCTTTGAGACACAAATTCTCACTTGCTCAAACACATGGCATCCATTTATCCACCTGAAAAAAAGTTTATGCCAAAAGCAGAAAACTTAGTTTTTTGAACCATTTCTCCAACAGCAACCTCCCTCTTTTTATAGCCTTTCTTCTGCTCCAAGTTATTATTATTCTCATGCTGCACCGTATTTCACACCACAACATGTTTATTGGCAGCAATGTGTGATGTCCCAGGCAGCACAGGAATCCACAATTTACTGACTCCCTTCCCCTCCAGTGAGCATTAAAAGATGTTCCAATTGATCTCAGGATGCTCCTTGGTGGCCTTTGGGCTAACCTGAATGGCAGCTTGTCCTCTTGGTACCTGAGGTTTGGGCTGAAGCAGAGAGTTGAACTTGTATAAAACTCGTAATTCTTTGTGCTCATCCGATACTTGTAGTTTCTGTGTGCCCTGCACAGATTGTGCCCACACTTAGGAAGAATTATGACTTTTATCCTAAGTGCCATCCTCGAACTATCAGGTCTGTTGCCTATTTATATAAATTCTCATGCAACCCCTGCAGTCAAAATCAACCAGGACTCTGATGCTGCTTTCAACCTTCTATTTGCTGACAAATATTGCAAATGGTTTTCCCCAGGACCCCTTGGTAGAAATGGGTTCACAAAGGCTGGCATGTCTTGGATAATTTAAGGAGTGCTCTTAATTCAGGGTGAGCCTGTCTCAGTGATAGGAGGGAAATACAAATACAGGTTAGAGCTCTGTTCCCTCCCCTCAGAAGCTCTGTCAGTGCATCAAGCAAGCTCAGAAAACAGTGCAGGTGACCAGGGTGTGACTGTCTGCTCTGAGCAGAGCTGAAGTGGCCCCTGGACTCTTTTTGCTGTATCACCACTTGTTACAAAAGGTCTATGAAGGAGATTAGAGGGATGGAACACCCTTCATACGAGGAAAGGCTGAGAGAACTGAGATTGTGAGGCTCAGAGAAGAGAAGTGTTCAAAACCAGGTGGGATGGGGCTTTCAGAAACCTGATCTAGTAGAAGGTATCCCTGCCCGTGGCAGGGGGGTTGGAACAAGATGAGCTTTGAGGCTCCCTTCCAACCCAAACCATTCTATAATTCTATTACCTTAAACACATAGTACAAAAGTAGAGTATTAAATTTAGGTCCCTTAATCTTCACTTGAATCCTCCTAGAAGAGATCAGCTCCACCGGATACCCAGTGCCACTGGAAATGCTCTACTGTATCCAGGGCATCTTCTCAGAGCAAGTAGATGTGACCAGGATCTTTGGGAACCCACATCCTTGTGGAGAAGATGGGAATCTTTACAAGGTGGCCCAGGACATCAGTGTGATTTAAAAGCTGAGACTGTGGTTCCTCTGACCAAATGTGGGCATCCCCTGTGAGAAAAGATGAACTGCATCTACACTAATGACTTTATGATTATCTCTCCTCAACTATAAAAGGGAACTTGTTTCAAAGGTGATGCCCATAGGGAGAACACCCACACTAACCCTACCTTCAAACTCTCTTTGCAGTCAGTGAGGAGAGACAGACACCTTGTCTGGGACTGGAACAAGCTGCCATCTGGAAGTATTCATCTTTATCTGCAGATAGAGCTAGAGCCTAGAAACCACACTCTAAATTGATACAACTTAGACTTCATCGGCAAAAATACACTTATTTTAGTATCAGCTCTTCCTTTCCTAATCTATTAGAAGGATCCCTGTCCTTAGTGTAGATCAAATCACAGTAACAATAGCAATGCAATTTATCAGCCTGGTGAATTTTAACATCCTAAATGTACATGTAATTTAAGAACATATTGAATCTTTTTCTTCCCTAAATAAATGTTCTTAAAACTTAATTGTATTTCCCTGCATCATTTAGATTGAGAACATTGTTAAACATCCAGAGATGATGTATATTAGAAGTGTTAAAAGTGAGTTATGAACAAAGGGATATATAATTTCAGATGGAGTGATTTTCTGAAATATTTAAAAAATCCTGAAAAGTTTGTGGCAAATTATGAAAGGTGTTTAACAACTGTTAGGTCATGAGGTTATTTTAGAGGTCTGTGCATGCAGCTGAACTATCTTGTCCAAAGAGCCGGAAAATCTATAGAAAAGTGATAGTATTAATTTAAGAATACTTTAAACTGGACACTTTTTATCTGTTGTGCTGATGTGTCTGACAAATATTTATCCTTAAGCACAGTGAAACAGTAATGAAAAACTAAGCAAAACAAAATGACAGCACCTGTCTTGGAGGAAACTTCCGCCTGTCTTTTCTTCTATTTCATTTTGCCTTCGTCATGATGCCTACATCATCCCCGTAAAGAAAAAGTTATATTATTATCATTGGGTTAATGGTGTTGTCCAATCTATATTTATCCAATCTATATTTATCCAATCTATATTTAATTTTGTTGTAGTATTCCCCAAAACTGTGATGTTTTCAGCCAGGCTCTATTCTTCTAAAACTTTGAATATAGATTTGTCTCTGGGAGTTTCAGAATCATTATCCTCTTATGCAAAGCAGGAGATCAATACCTTGAAATATTTACTTATATACAGAGCTATGTGAAAACCAGGAATCGTTGATTAGGATTAGATCAGTTCATCTGTTCAAATATCTTGCCTCAAATTTTGGTCCAAACCAAGGGAATGATAGAAACTTTTCCTGCATGTTTTTGTGTTCAACACATGAGCTACAAATCCGCCTGGACTTGTGCAAAGTTTTGACACTGTCCTGCACAACATCCTTGTCTGGAGAGACAGAGATTTGATGGATGGATCACCCAGTGGATAAGGAATTGGCTGGGTGGTTGCACTCAGAGAGTTGTGGTCAATGGCTCAGTGTCCGGTTGGAGAACAGGGACAAGTGGTGTCCTCAGGGGTCAGGGCTGGGACTGGCACTGCTTAACATCTTTGTCAGGGACATGGACAGTGACATTGATGTCACCAAGCTGTGTGGTGCAGCCAACACACTGGAGGGAAGGGATGGTATCCAGAGGGACCTTGATAGGCCTGAGAGGTGGGACTGTGAAAACCTCAGGAAGTTCAACAAGGCCAAGTGCAAGGTCCTGCACCTAAATCAGGGCAATCTCAAGCACAGACACAGGCTGGACAAAGAATGGAGGAAGAGCAGCCCTGAGGAGAAGGACTTGGGGGTGTTTGTTTATGAGAAGCTCAACATGACCCAGACATGTTGACCTGACAGCACAGAAAGCTAAACATGTCCTGGGCTGCATCCAAAGCAATGTGGGCAGCAGGTCAGAGGAGGTGGTTCTCCCCCTCTATGCTGTTCTCTTGAAACCCCACTTGGAGTGCTGCATCCAGCTCTGGGTTCCCCAGCATAAGAAGGATATGGGTCTGTTGGAATGAGTCCAGAGGAGGCCATAAAGATGACCAGAGGGCTGGAGCACCTTTGCTCTGGAGACAGGCTGAGAGAGTTGGGTTTTTTCAGCTCGGAGAGGAGAAGGCTCCAGGGAGAGCTTAGAGCACCTTCCAGCACCTAAAGGGGCTCCAAGAGGGCCGGAGAGGGACTTTCAACAAAGGTTTGGAGTGAGACATCAAGGGGGAATGGCTTCAAACTGAAAGAGGGTAGGTTTAGATTCCTTACTAGGAAGAAATTCCTTACTGTGAAGTGGTGAAACACTGGAATAGGTTGTCCAGAGAAGCTGTGGCTGCTCCATCCCTGGAAGTGTTCAGGGCCAGGTTGGATGGGGCTTGGAAAAACCTGTTATAGTAGAAGATGTCCCTGCCCATGGCAGGGAAGTTGGGACTGGATAACCTTTGAAAGTCCTTTCCAACCCAAACCATTCTGTGATTCCATGGTTATCGTGTGAATTCAACTTCATTCTTTATAACTTTGATAGCAAAACTGTTTGTTCTCTCTTCACAAGCAATGTTATAAAATAATTTATATATATATGTATGTGTGATAAGAGTATCCCAGATTCTTTTTGAGTCTTAATAAGCAGATTACCCTGACAGTATCTCATACAACAAAATTCACAGTTCAGCTGTGCATTGAATAACAACTGTATTTGATCAGTTCTAAATTTTATAGCTTTCAGCCTCCTGGAGGATTTCTTGTTCCATATGTTGAAGTAGGTACACTAAACTTCCATTGGCTGCCTTCTGTGTAGTATTCACAAGTGTATTCCATCATTGCCCCCCTCTTTGTTATCTTTTAGAGTAAAATCAGGTATAAAATGTTTTTCAGTCTTCTCTCACCTGAACTCAGACCTGTTCTTGCCTTTCTCTGTCCAGTGATTTCTGTATCATAACTAGGCCTGTTCCAGAGTGGAGCTGCTGACTGCACTGCTCTCTTGTACTGGAATGGGCATTAGGTTTATTCCCCTCACTCAAATGGTAAGGAGAGACATATAAAGGGAAGTCCCATCTCCTTCTTGGTGGTCACTGTATCAAAATCTCTTTGCATCACTTCCTTATCCAAACACCCTCCTCTCTTTCTGAAATACATTTACTTGTTTTCCCAACATTTGGCACTGATACAAGAGACTTAGGCTGTGTGTTATTAGTTAAAGAGGGATTTTTTGGGGGGGGTTATAGGGAATTGCATTAATCCAGTTAAAGAACAGTGATGTCAACAGACAAGGGGCAAAAAGAAGGCAGGATCACAATCCGTCTTGGTCAACACGATTCAGAGCAGTTAAACTTGTGATCTGAAAGCAGGAGATGTGATATTGTACCACCAGATGTGGTAGGGCATTGCCATTTACTATGAATTCACAGGAAGGAAGGGATGAATTATTTGTCAAATTTAAACTTGGGAAACATTTTTCTGTGGAGAACGTGATAGAGACCATGAATTTCCTTGCAATTTCACAGGGATCTGAGCACACATCCTTTCAGCAACAGGTGGATTAAATCCACAATTTCTATTTTCTGCAACCTTCTTTGCAGGCACTGGATGACTCCTATAACACACCAACTTCTACTCTTTTCTAGTTTTGGCTTGGTAGAAGAAAGAAGAAAAAAGAAAAAAGTCTTGTCCAACTGAGCTTTCTCAAGATGAAGGGCCTTGAATTATCTCCAATCTAAACAAACAAAGGGGGATAAATTATCTAATTTCTTGCAACCTTCATATTTTATAGCTTCTGAAATCAAAAGGGAGGAGCTCTTATCGCTGTTGAGAGCTACTGCTTGATTTGTGGTCACAGATGTTTGTCAATTAAGGGGTTGTGAAAAATTGTGAAGTTTCTGTTTTTCCTTTAACCAGCAGAGCTCAATCTTTGGCTGGGAAACAGTATTCTCAGCTCATCAGGCACACAGAACAAACATTAGCTTATAGCTTCTTAATTTCCTCATCAATAAATAGAAGATTTATATGTATTAATTTGCTCCTTTTATGTCTGTGCTGTTCCCATGGCACAGGAAAAAAACGGGCTCAATGTGTCTGATAAAGAACAAGTCTGTAAGAGGTATGGAACACATTTGCATCTTGTTCCACAACATATTCTCAGGAAAACCATATGTCCCCATGCATTGCACCAGTTCTTGTCTGCAGCTTCACTATTTCACTCTCATCTTAAGCAAATTATTTGAGGTACAGCCAAGGCATATACAGGACACAGCCACACTTCAAGGAGGTGGGAAATAATTCATATTTGGGTGCCTTCCACAACTGCATAGCAAAAAATTCTTCAATGCTTTTGAAGTGACTGTGATTGATGTTCTCCATTGTAGCAGGCCATGTTTTCAAGGTCAGGTTTTCAAACCCAGGTTGCCTTTAAGACCAGCTTGGATGGAGCACTGAACTACCTGGTCTAGTGGAAGGAGGCCCTGTCCATGGCAGGGTGTTGGAACGAGATATTCTCCCTTCCACCCCAGGCCATTCTGTGATTTCTTCTGTGATTCTTGAACTCCACAAGCCAATATTTAGATCAAAAATGTCCAGAGGTAAAAATAAAGTCGAAGAACAGCAGAGCATGAAATTATTCCACAAATGCCTGTGATGTGCAGGGTTACTTTGACTGTGTAGCACATTCACTTTTCCAAATCATTGTCCTTCTAAACACAGTTTTCAGACTATATTTTCCAGTGGTGACCACTTGACATCCTTCATTTAACAAGGTTTTCCATTTTTGATTCAATTTATCACAGCCAGAGGTTTCTTCTGTGCCATAGGGTACAGAGTCCATGAATCAACACACTTCAGGGATACTGGAATTGAGTTTAATAATTGACACACTGTGAGCATCCTGTTTGTTTGGTTTTTTTTTACCTCATATGCTGGTATAAAACACAGGGGGTTTTTTGTACATTTTCCTAAATATCTACATAGCCAAATACCTTTTTTCCCATCCTCACCTGTCCAAGAAAATCAGTATTTCCTCTCTTCAATGTGAACTGCTTTAGGACTACTTAGTTAAAATTTCAGTGAAGATTTTATTCCAATGATTGTTACAACAATGCAATAATATTAGTGCTTTAAATTCATGCAGTGTTGATCCTCAGTGTCCTGTGTCTTTTGTATTTTTTTCTCAGTTTAGACTAAAGTGGTTTTATGCACATTAGAGTTTTACCTTCAAAGAGTTAACCAGCTACATATATTGAAAGTATAACAATATCTCTATACCTCATTGATTTCCAGCAGTTGTCCCAGAATAACTTCTTAATTATTTCTCTAGCAATTATCTTGAAATCTAATTATAAGAACTAATTTGTTAAAGTTCTGGAGCCGGTATGACATTATTTTCCAAAATAAAATCAGGCTGGCTGGCAAAATTCTAAAAACAGATGAACTTATTAGTGATTTCTCACTTGCATTTAAAAAAAAGAAAACAAAAAATCCCATAATGATAGTTTTGAAACTTTATCTAAATATTTGTTGAAGAGTATAGTCCTTATTTCACATTGAAAGACACCAGAAAACAAATTACTGAGGGATGAATAGGAGGTTAGTTCTCAGAAGAGGAAACTGTTAGACTATTATTCTTTTATATTCAAAGGGATTTCCATTACTTAGAGCATTTCTGACTATATTGCTTGGGAATCCTTTGGGAATATTCATCTCTGCTTCAGTAGTGGAGAATGTCATCTCTGTCTACTCATTACTGTGGTAGCTCAGTAGCTGACGAAATCAGTGAGAGCTGCTCTTCACAAAACAGAGGAGGTGCACACCTTCATGGCAGTTTCCTGAGGAGATGGACCAGTTTTCCAAGAAAGCTGCTATTCAGGTGATAAAATCTGGGACCTGCTGCCCATCATCACAAACGACTTTGAGAAAAGTGGTCTTCAGGTGGGATGGAAGGTACAGTGTTGTAC